GTTCGGCCAATCACAATGCACTGGTTCAGCTGGCCAATCAGAGCAGACTGCGCTTGTCGTAGGAGGGGGCTTTGTTGAAAACGACGTGTTTGAGAGAGGCGGGGCATAGAGGACCTACTATAATGTACAGTATTTGAAAAATGTGTTTTTTGAACATTAAAGCCTGTCAACATATTCTGTTACACCAAATACACAAAATAATTATCTTTAAAATAGCATCATATTACGCCTTTAAGTTTACTTCACTTCCAAGTACAACTGGAATTGGGAACCGCTGATGTAGCCTATTGTAGTAATGTTGTCTCTGGTATTCTGGTCTGTGAGCGTATGCGTTCAGGGGGCGTGGCTTTGGACGGCGATTGCAGGGAGGGTGGGACGTTCGCTTTCAGTGCTATCAGGCTAAAGTTAGCATTTTCCAAGATCTCCTACTGCACCTTTAAGGTATTTGGTATTTTATTTTAAAATACGTTTTGATGTATCTTTGCCCAACCCTGGTAAGGGAGATATTGGAAGTAATGTCTAAGGCGAGATGTTGGCAAAATACATTCAGTCAGTTTGCCCACTAAGCATTTACTATAGCTCTGTAAACATTAATTTGAATTAATTATGGGACTTCTTTTTGTACTGTAGGGTAAATTTGCAGATGGTCCCTAAAGCAGCCTAGGCGAAAATGCAGCGCATATCAAACCTAACTTTACCACGCTATCAGAGCTTTATTAACAAAATTTATGATAAATGCTTACAAATTACAGTTCTGTGCAGTGATATATATAATGTTATTTTGTTAAAATGTAGTTTTTAAAACAAAAAGTAATACATCAAATTATGCTGCGGCAGTCCCTGGCTGCTAGAAATGCCGGAGACAGACCCTGGCTGCTGGAGATCAGTGTTGCTGGAGATGCCGCCGGAAGTGCCCCTGCGAGATGCCGATATTACCAACTACAGATGGGCTTCACTAACATTAGCCTATGTATTTAGATGGGAGATAATAAGAACAGAGAATAATTAAGTTAACTTGTCCATGAGTTTAAGATGTTAAATTAATTATCTTAGCCAGTAAACTACCTGTTGCTAGCCATTGCTACAACCTCGCTCGCTCTTCTGTCAGAGTGGCGGCGTCAGTGACGGGAAAGCGTAAAGTGGGCGTGGTCAACCTGTCACTTCAATCGAGAGTGACCAATAGAAAAAGACCTTTCATCCCTCACAAGCAAACCTTTTCAACTGGCAAGCAAAAGATTTAGACCCACAAAAGACAGCAGAAAAGAGAGCAACACACACAGCAAAGAATTTTGTTATCAATTTTATTATTTTCGAGCCTTAAGAAGACTTTTTTTGCAATCTTTTATTTTTTTAATTACAAAATAATTAGTTTTACTCTCAAACACAGTATGTTTGATAGAATAAAAAAGACACAAAAGAAACTCCATACTCCACTCTCACTGTTTTAATACATTAAGACACATTTAGCATTTCAGAATGTCCCAAAATCTTCCCTTGAACTACTGACTGTATTTCTTTACTTGAGTCCAAGTTCAAAATAAAACTCTATGAACAGGAAGTGTTTGTCCAAACTCAACTGGTTTTGCAAGAGAACACAAATATCTTTGCGAGAGAACGCAAAAGATTTGAAAATATATATATATACATAAATAAGGAAATAAAAGCATAAATAATTATTTATTTTAGTTTTTTTTTTACTTTTCTTTGTATATTTATTTTTATATTTGTACACTTTTACATTTTAACATTTCGTTGTATATTTATTTATTTATTTATAATTTTGTCAGGTCGTTACCTCGACAAAATGATCTCGTGGCCACGAGATTTTATCATGTTCCCACAAATTATTATGATGTTCCCACAAATGAATAACTCGTGGCCACGACAAAACTAAGTGAATCAAACATCTCCGGTTACTGTCGTAACCTCGGTTCCCTGAAAGCAGGAACGAGACTCCTTCTACATTTCCTGAAGTCCTATTGGCTCACGCCAGTCAAATTGACTGGCCAGTTGTTACAAAGTATGCAAATAGCATGCAAATACTAACTAGCTCGAATAGCAGTATAAAATTCGGTGCAATTACAATTACGTCAGAATCTGATCCTGAACGCTGCCCTGCTGATCGAGCAGCGATCACGGCGATCTCCGCAATGTCTCATTCCCGCTCTCAGGGAACCAAGTTTACGACAGTAACCGGAGACGTTCCCTTTCGAGCTTTCTCTCGACATTGCGGAGCATCTGCTTTGGGAACAGTATTCAATTCCGCCATGATGTGTTGGAATGAATACTTTTAAGTATAACTTCACAGTTTGCATTTCCACCCTTTTTGGCAACTACAACAATGTACTGCAGTTTGTTCAATCAATGGAGATGTACAAGCTTCTGGGTGTACAGCATGTGGTCATCTATAAAACTAGTTGTGGGCCAGACTTGGAAAAGCTCTTAAAACATTATGAAACCGAGGGGATGCTGGAGATCGTTCCATGGCCTATCGACCAGTTTCTGAACCCGTCATCAGGCTGGAAATTCAAGAAACACAAGGGTGACATCCATTATTATGGTCAGCTGGCAACACTCAATGAGTGCATTTACAGGCACATGTACCAATCCAAATATGTTCTCCTGAATGACATTGATGAAATCATCATGCCTTACAAACACGCCAATTTACCATCTCTTATGAAGTACCTTCAGTCTGCTCATCCCAGAGTAAGTGTATTCCTTTTTGAGAGCCACATATTCCCCACAACACAGTTTGAGGAGAGTGGGAAGTTCAAACGAGAAGAATGGAATAATATTCCTGGTGTGAATATCATGGAACACATTTACAGAGAACCTGATCGAAAGAACATTGATAATCCCAAAAAGATGATTGTCAACCCAAGGAAGGTGCAGAAAACTTCAGTACTTTCCTCATTGCAAAAATATGGATATATTCATCATGTAGCATTTCATGTGTCTAGGATGGTACATGTGAGAAATCCAATGCAGGTGAATCTTACTAAAGAGCAACTGTTTGTGGACAAAAGAATGTGGGACTTTAAGCAAAAACTGATTCCGAATGTTGACCGGACTTTGAAGCTTTCAGGTTTGTTAAGGCCTCACTGATGATATGATTTTATTATAATTATGCAGATCTGATCAATTTGACATCTGAATTTTTGCTTCCAAAAAAAAAAAAGAATGCCTTTTGAGAAATATAATTTCTGCCAAAATTATTGCAAAACTGATTTAGACCAAAGTAAAGTTAAAAAGGTCCAGCATTTTGCACAAAAAATACTGATGTCTTGCATATATGTATGTTTCTGATCCGATTTCATTCGTACTCCGCAAATTAACTTACGGTTTTAACTCAGCCTTTCCTTTTGGAGTTGTTTCCAATCAGGAAAGTTACATTTACAATGAATTATTTTGAATTATTTTTAGTGCTGTCAAAATTAGAGCGTTAACGTAGGTGAATATTCTTTTCAGTTTAACACATTCAAAATATTTTATGCAATTAACGTAGGGGGGCTAAGGTTGGCCACCCTGCTCACAACTGCTGCTTCTGTCTCTTTTTTTCCTGACAAGAATTGCATTTATTTAGACGCAGAATGTCTTTACGGCAGCCAAAATAACCTAATAACCCAGCTGCTGTGATGTCTGTTCATCAAAGAACAAAAGAAAAAAAGAGGAAATCAATAACTTTAGTAGCTTTAAGGATTCATCTATATTTAATTTAGAATTTAGTGTTTGATAACTTTAGTCAATTTCTGCTTATTTCCTACTTGCTGAAGGGCACAGGTATGCTAAATGACATTTATTATAGCCTAATGGGTTTATGTGAAGATGATTTTAAGTTCACTTAAATTAGAAGCTGTTATTTTTTGCTCTCAATTATACGTTGAATGGCTGTATTCAATGGCTAAATATTAGGGGGGGAAACTATTTCATAGATACATATAGGTATCAGTGATACTGGCCTTTCGTCATAAAAAAAGAAGCCATTAAACAAATATAAAAAATATGCTGTCTTTATAGACCAATTTGGAGTAGACGTCACAGTTACGTCACTTGCAGCTGCGCGCGCATAGTGGTGGCAGAAAAACACTGGGAACAAGTGGAGGGAAATGGGTAAAATCCATGGAATAAGAGAAAAAAATTGTTGTTGTGCCTTTGGATGTCAGAATCGGAATGCAAATAATTCAAGTCGTCAAACACGCCATTTGAATCTAAACGCAGACGTTTAAATGGACAGACTATGGATGAAACCTGCTATGATTACCCTGCTTTTAAAGCATAAATTTGATTTAAACAATAGGTCATTATAATATTCATATAGGGGACATATTGTATTAGCCCTATAGTTGAAATATATGCATGAAATACTATTTAAACCTATACAATTTTACAATTACAATTAAAATTTACCTATTTTATCTCACAATACTGACTTTTTTCTTGCTAATGCAAGTATATATCGCCTAGTTCGGACTTTATAACTTTATTCAAGTCAACAATTGCGAGTTTGTCAATTCTGAGGGAAAAAAGCCAGAAGTGTGGGATTATAAACTAAAAATAATTAATGACGAGTTGATTTTTCTTACCAGAATTGTGAGATATAATCTCGGAATTGCAAGAAAAAAGTCAGAATTTTGAAATATAAACTCAAAATTTAATTTTTATTATTATATTCTATGTCTTGAATAGACTGCTACGTTAAAGGAGTCATATAATGTTGCCAAAAAGAACATTATGTAATGCAATGTGTTTATGCGGTTTAAGGTTCAAAAAACACATTATTTTCCACATAATGTACATTATTGTTGCTCCTCTATGCCCCGCCTTTCTGAAACGCTTCGATTTTTACAAAGTTCATCATTCTGAAAAGCGAGGTGTATGCTGATTGGCCAGCTAGCGTGTGACGGAAATGTTACGCCCCGTTTCTAGCCAATTTGACGCCCTAGGTGAAATCCCTACATATATATATATATATATAAAACTTTTCAGACCCCAGTTGCTTGTCACATTCAAATTGGTTGTCATAGTAACAGCACTAATTTGTGGAGATTCAGTGCATTGAGTTCCACAAATCTGAATGCAGTATTTGTAAATTGACTGTTAAGATAAACATTTTGCACAATTGAGTATCTGTAATATCATTGTGTTGCCACTAGATGCCTGTATAGCCCAATGTAACAATCCCTAGAGGCTAAGACATTGCACATAATTTACACATAATTCACACATAAATTCATTTTATTACATTTTAATTTGGATACTATATACTATACTACTAAATATTGTTTAGATATTATCAATGGCTACTTTTTTGTCTTTATCTGTTTTTTTTTTGTTCTATTTTTTTTTTGTTGTTTCTTGAAACATTGATTTAAAGTGTCAGTTATTGCATTATTATTTCAGTCAAACCTAAAAAAACACTTTGTTACCCCAAACTACATATAAAAGCTTTATCAGTGGCATAAAAGTAACCAATGCAGCTATTTAATCATTTGCTACTCGTTAACGCGTTAACGTCCCCTTTAAATAACGTGACACTCTGCCCTCTATGACGCTGCTCCCATTAAGCGCTGTTGGAAGTGAATGAATTGATTCAGCATTTCGACACCTCCGTAAGGATGCATTTAACTCAACAAAGCGGTCTAATAAAGGATGTATTGATCTCGTGAATTAGCGAATTTTACTTTACAAATATTTTTTAATTAGATGTTAAAGTTTATATGGGAATATTACATGACACGCTGATCCTTTAACAATGCATTGGCGCAAAAAATGCACACCTTTTGGACAAATCTGCCACAAATATTTGGACAAATGTGCCACAAAAGTGCCACAAATAATGACAAATAAATAACTAAACAAAATACTGATTTTGTGCACTTTATTTACTGTACCAATATTTTAAATTGGCCTTTGAACTTAGCTTTATTGCATGGCAAAAAAAAGTGTTACCTTTTCAAAGCACTGACAGAGCCCACTGATCTAATGGCATTGTTGAGCGCTCCAAATGCAAACTTTGCATGCAACAATCATGCAGCAATTGACAGCACTCTGATCTAGTGGCATACAGGCATCATCAGATTGACAGTACTCTAGCCCAATAATGTTGGGGGATCCAGTGGGGGCGGCAGTCATATTTCAGGGTGACCGTGCCATTCTTTATCACAACCCTGCTAAAAGTGCCAGTACATGCGCTCATTGGCGCTCCTTCAGCTGGTGGCACCTTAGGCGACCACCTAGCTCGCCTACACTCTTAAAAATAAAGGTGCTTCAAAAGGTTCTTCAAGCGATGCCATAGAAGAACCATTTTTGGTTCCACAAATAACCTTTCAGTCAAAGGCTCTTTAAAGAATCATCTCTTTCTTACCTTTTTATAATCTGAAGAACCTTCTTTCGCCACAAAGAACCTTTTGTGAAACAGAAAGGTTCTTCAGATGTTAAAGGTTTTTTATGGAACCATTTAGACAAAAAAGGTTCATCTATGGCATCATGAAGCACCTTTATTTTTAACAGTGTATGCCTAGAAATGGCCCTGCCCCTTAACATACTGTGATGCCATCTCCCGGCACGACGAGACAAAACAAATAAAATAGTGATGGCAGTTCAGATAATTTTACCGACTCAGACATTTGAGTCTCGTTCAGCAAAATGAACGAATCTTTTTTTGAGTCATTTCGTTCATTTTAGCAAAATATAATTAAAATGTTACGTGTTTCTTCCCTAACACGTCTACTACTTACGCAAACGTTGATCACACTACAAACAATACAAAACTATAATGCTATAAGATACAGAAAAGATTAATTCAGTAACAAAGGTAATAAAGAGTTGGTTATTATAGTCTCTTTTCGGCTCAAAACTGCATAGGTTAAGCTTATGGGGCTGTCACGTGATGAACGAAAGATTCGAAAAACCCACTCGAAACTAATTCTAGTACAGAACCTATAGGATGTTGCGCATGCGCGACTAAACGAATCCCTCCCCGAGACGACTCGTTCTTCCCGAGTCACATTAAAGATTCATTCAAAATTAACGAATCGTTCAAGAACAACCCAACACTACAATAAAACCCATTACAAACGAGGCATTTGTTGCATCCAGTGGGGACATAATTACTGATTATAATGACTCATACTGTGTTTTTACGCATTGCATTGCGTATCGCGCCGCGTAAACATAAAACCAAGTCTGCATTTGTGATCGGAGAAATGACAAACAACAAGCGCTACTCTACACTGCTTAAAACTCGCATTTGAATCATTAGTGGCAAATTCTTTAAATATAAAAAATTTACTTACAGGCGACATTAGTGTGAGTAATTGATGACAGAGTTTTAGTTTTTGGGTGAACAATCCCTTTACGTTGTCTTCAATAGGAAATTAGAAATTAGAGTTAAAACCAATTTTCCAAATTATACTTACGGATTTAAGATGTGACTTTTTTTTAAAAAAGGGGGGGGGGGGGGGGGAAAAGTTTTTTTTTTTTAAATGTTAAAGCAATACAGCAACTGATGGGGCACTCGAGATAGGAGAAGCTACAGGAGTCCTGAGCTTTCCCCAGCAGGTCAAAGAAAGTGCCCCTATTGCTATTGGACAAGTCACACAGCTCAGAACACGAGAATAGAACATCACAAAAAAGCTACACACCAGTAAGAGAAACAAAAAATTAAATTACAATACACATTTTTCAAATAACAAAGCCATATATATCAAATAGGAATAATAAAATAAAAAAAAAAATCATGCTCTCTTTAAAGGGGACAGAGAATGGGTTAAAAAAAAGTTAAGAGGTAATCCTTGTGTAGCGGACCCTTGGGGCCCACCACATGCAGAGAGGAAGTGCATGTGTGGAGGTGCCACCAGGGCGGCGCCACAGCACTGGAGAGCCCAAGAGCAGAAGGAACAAGACCATGGGTAAAAGGGCTCCTCATCAGCATGAGGATGGAAAGAAAGGTTGAGGAGGTCAGTCTTAGCGAAAGCACACATTTTTAAACATCAGTGGAAGAATTCTGCTACAGCCATAACTAAAGGTCATTTTGGACACAAGACTTCTCTAATGTGGCATCAGTACAACCAGTCAAATAAAATTTGCTTTGATGCATTCTTCAG